TACTGACCTGTCAGTGTTCTAGTTCAGATTGCCTGTAACCTCATATTAACTTTGACATATTAACTACAACATGTTAAATAAGACATATTCACTAAGACATATTAATTCAGATGGCCTGTAAACTCATATTAACTTTGACATATTAACTACAACATGTTAATTAAGACATATTCACTAAGACATATCAATTCAGATGGCTTGTAACCTCATATTAACTTTGACATATTAACTACAACATGTTAATTAAGACATATTCACTAAGACATATTCATTAAGACATATTCACTAAGACATATTAATTCAGATGGATATTTGCTAAGACATATTAATTCCATATTAACTACGACATGTTAAGTAAGACATATTCACTAAGACATATTAATTCAGATTGCCTGTAAACTCATATTAACTTTGACATATTAACTACAACATGTTAAGTAAGACATATTTGCTAAGACATATTAATTCAGATGGCCTGTAACCTCATATTAACTTTGACATATTAACTACAACATGTAAAGTAAGACATATTTGCTATGACATATTAATTCAGATTGCCTGTAACCTCATATTAACTTTGACATATTAACTACAACATGTTAATATGTCAAAGTTAATATGAGGTTAGAGGCCATCTGAATTAATATGTCATAGCAAATATGTCTTAGTTAACATGTTGTAGTTAATATGTCAGAGTTAATATGAGGTTACAGGCCATCTGGATTAATATGTCTTAATGAATATGTCTTAATTAACATGTTGTAGTTAATATGTCAGAGTTAATTTGAGGTTACAGGCCATCTAAATTAATATGTCTTAGCAAATATGTCTTCCTTAACATGTTGTAGTTAATATGAGGTTACAAGCCATCTGAATTGGTATATCTTAATTAACATGTTGTAGTTAATATGTCAAAGTTAATATGAGGTTAGAGGCCATCTGAATTAATATGTCATAGCAAATATGTCTTACTTAACATGTTGTAGTTAATATGTCAGAGTTAATATGAGGTTACAGGCCATCTGGATTAATATGTCTTAATGAATATGTCTTAATTAACATGTTGTAGTTAATATGAAGTTACAGGCCATCTGATTTAATATGTATTAGTGAATATGTCTTAATTAACATGTTGTAGTTAATGTGTCAAAGTTAATTTGAGGTTACAGGCCATCTGGATTAATATTTGCTATGACATATTAATCCAGATGGCCTGTAACCTCAAATTAACTTTGACACATTAACTACAACATGTTAATTAAGACATATTCATTAAGACATATTAATCCAGATGGCCTGTAACCTCAAATTAACTTTGACATATTAACATGTTGTAGTTAATATGTCAAAGTTAATTTGAGGTTACAGGCCATCTGGATTAATATGTCATAGCAAATATTAATCCAGATGGCCTGTAACCTCAAATTAACTTTGACATATTAACTACAACATGTTAAGTAAGACATATTTGCTATGACATATTAATCCAGATGGCCTGTAACCTCAAATTAACTTTGACATATTAACTACAACATGTTAATTAAGACATATTCACTAAGACATATTAAATCAGATGNCCTGCTGGTAGTGACTGTATTAATCCGGCTAGTATTGTCAACTGTGGCTCTGGGTACTACAGCTTAGAGGGTGTGGTGAGTTGTCTTCCAGTGTATGTGTGCTCTCATGAGTCAGGCAAGCTTCATTTATGTATGCCCCCGCCAAAAAGTGATGGGGGGTGGGGGGCATATAGTGTTGCCCATGTCCGTCCTGTCCTGTCCCAATTCAATGTAAACACTTAGGCTACATTCGCGTATCCCGGTTGAAACGGCACGTGTGGCGCAGAAATTTTCCACGATAAACGAACACACTTGGACCGTTCTATAAGCAGAGCTAAAAATGCAGTTTCGGAGAATAAAAAACAATGTATCAAGAAAATTATATCCTTCTCTCACGCGTCCACTAAATTACATAACGCATCTTAAAAATTACATGTGACTTGACATTGTTTAAGAAAGAAATAACGCAAATTGGCAATAGTCAGCATTTTAGTTTCGGTCAGGTACGTCTGGACCCCTCAATCTACATGTACCAAATTTTCCTGAGGTCAGCCTCGGTCCAAATCTGTACCTGTCGTTTTCTTTACAGGTTCAACTGGTTCAACCGTTTCAACCGAATACGCGAATGTAGCCCTGGCGGGGGCATTCATGTCTTACAGACATTTTCTAGTTTTCTATATTTTTTCTCTCCCTCTGTCTCCTTTTTTTATTAAAGTCAAAAATTAAAGTGGTTTTTAAATGTAGAAAAGTAAGAAAATGTACAATAGGTCCATTGTTATTAAAACAAAAACTGATTAGATGGGGTTCTGAAAATTTGCAATACCTTACTGTGTATGTCCTGGTAGTTATATATATTCTTGATGTAATGGAGTTATGTATAAAAACATCCTAACTCAAAATATGTTTTCCTTGTTTATACAAGTCACTCAATCAGTACTACTAAACTCCAGAGTTAGGTTGACACAAGATGTAAAGACCTTGATCCCAAAGAGGGCAAAAAAACCCACCAAGGTTTCCCCCAGGTCAATTTTGGTATTTTTTTTTTTCCATTTTGATAAAGATGTCCATCGACATTATGGGTCCAGCCTCACCCTGAAGTCTTGATCATAACTTTGATTTGGTTGGAAATTTCTATCTAATTTACATGTATGCAAATGCTGGAGGGACAAACAGAGTCATGCCATCAGAATTTGCCCTAGCTATAGGATCTGGTCCCACCCCTTGGGATTTAGTTCCTACGTCAGAAACAACATGGAAGTGGTTAAGACCCCCACCTAATGACCATTTACACAATAACTCGGCATAACAAAACGAATACAGATGTTATACCACAATTTGCCTTTGAGTCTGCCCCTGCCTTAAAGGACTTTGTCCCCCACCACAACATAACACTGGCTGAGATATTGCGCTTTGGGTGATGCAGATACCTGCACTGCATTTTGTATATTTGTATGCTAACTGAGTAAAGACTGTGGCCTGTACATTGGACTGCTATTATATGAGCCAGTAATTATCCCCCGCTCAACGAGTTGGCTGGGGATATTGAAATGGGGTCCGTCCGTGCGTTCATGTGTGCGTGCGTGCGTCCGTCCATGCATGCACCTGGTTAAAAAGAATTGCTCTCATCTATATCTTGCCCACTTCAAGTGCTATGTTGATCATACTTGCATCAATTGTGTATCTAGGAGTGCTCTACTGAATGCATATTGCAGATGCTGATTTTGACCTATATTTTATGTTTCATTGACTTGGTTAAAAAAAAAACTGCTCTTATATCTATGTAAGGTTAAGAAGAACTGCTCTCATCTATATCTTACCTACTACAAGTGCTATGTTGATTATATTTCAATAAATTGTGTATCTAAGGATGCATATTGCTGATGCTGATTTTGACCTATATTTTATGTTTCATTGACTTGGTAAAATAAAACTGCTCTTATCTGTATGCAAGGTTAAGAAGAATTGCTCTCATCTATATCTTACCTACTACAAGTGCTATGTTGATTATATTTCAATAAATTGTGTATCTAAGGATGCATATTGCTGATGCTGATTTTGACCTATATTTTATGTTTCATTGACTTGGTCAACAACAGTTGCTCTTCTGTATATTTCAGATTAAGAAAAAATGTTTGCATAAGTCAGATTTTAGTTACTACAAGTGACCCATATATTACATTTGCATGAATGATCGCTCCATAAAAGTTCATCTACTGATTGCATGTTGCAGATGCTGAATTTGGTAAACATTTTAGGTTTTAGTGACTTGCATAATAACAATTCATTCAGTTGGTTAAAAAGTTGGTTATCATGTTTTTTTAATGCCTTATGCACTGTGAGCAGCATCATCGATGACAGCGTCTTCTTGTTTGTTTCAGACGGTGGCCTGTACGCAGTGTCCAGCTGGCTATTCCTGTGCTACAACAACTTCTGCTCCTACACCGTGTACCAGTGGGAGTTATTCCTCTGCTGGAGCCACATCCTGTACCGCCTGTCCAGCTGGTCAAACTTGCACTGACCCCACTGGTTCTCCTTCATCCTGTCCTACTGGATACTACAGTGCTGCCGTAAGTATACCAATTTATCTGAAATCTCGGATTAAAAATGTTCTACATTTGATCTTGCATTCTGTACATTGTGTTTTTATCTCTTACCCGGTATGGATATTTCAGTATAGAAAGTTGTCTAGTACTTTCATCCAGTGAACAATGCAAACGTTTAATAGACAAGAGGTATTTCTTATAAACAGGATAGAAACTACTATTGAGGGTCTTCTTTTGATGGACAAGAAGTTCTTTGTGACAGGTGCTCTTTAAGGTAGAGCCTGTCTTGTATCTCCAACGACGAAGAGTTCCATTTTTTTACCTAGAGTTGCTAATCCATTCAAAATAGCAGTTAGATAGAAAAGAAATGTATTTACCAGTATTGTTATTTTCTCTTTTTACAAAAACTCCTCTGCCATGTATTTGATCCCTTTGCCTGTTGATTTTAAAGCAGGGAGCTGAACCACTAAACTACTTGACATGATATTTGTTATGTTAGTACTTTTCTGCAACATTATAGAAACTGTTCAAAGTCCAAAAGAGCTGTGTATGAATATAGAGGAAAAAGCTTATATCAAATGAAAAAATTACTTAGCAACATTTAGTTGAAAAGTGGTGGGACTGTCTATCTAAATGAAAGAGTCCCTGTATCTGTCTTAGCTGATATTTGTCTATTCTTTGACCTTAATATATTTCTTGGTTGAACATTGTGTCTAACCTTTGACCTTACTATATATATTGGTGTACATTGTGTCTAACCGTTGACCTTACTATTTTCTTGGTCGTACATTGTGTCTAACATTTGACCTTACTATATTTCTTGGTTGTACATTGTCTAACCTTTGACCTTACTATATACCTTGGTGAACATTGTGTCTAACCTTTGACCTTACTATATACCTTGGTGAACATTGTGTTTTACCTTTGACCTTACTATATACCTTGGTGTACATTGTGTCTAACCTTTGACCTTACTATATACCTTGGTGTACATTGTGTCTTACCTTAGACCTTACTATATACCTTGGTGTACATTGTGTCTTACCTTTGACCTTACTATATTTCTTGGTTGTACATTATGTCTAACCTTTGACCTTACTTTATACATTGGTGTACATTGTGTCTAACCTTTGACCTATGTATATTTCAGGGATCCACATCGTGTCAGGCATGTCCAGCTGGGTACAGCTGTTCATCATCAGGTAAAACTGCCTGTAGTTCTGGAGAGTACAGTGCCGCCCTTGAAGTCAACTGTACAGACTGTCCAGTGGGCTACCAGTGTCCGTTCACATCTTTGAGGATAAAATGTTCAGCAGGACAACATACGAATGGTAACGCTGGACAGACATCGTGCACAGACTGTCCTGCTGGTTCCTACTGTTCTGACACCACGTAAGTATCGTCATGTTACCATGAGTTTAGAAAATGACATCTGTAACAGTACAGTTTTACTTCACTTTATCATTTAACGACAGAAGAAATCCTCTACATTAGACTCCTAACATTTGGTTGATAAATAGCCATAAATGTCTAGATACAGGGACAATACTTAGTGTAATAAATTATCATATACCAGTGAGTGTATAGACAGCTCACCAGCTCAAAGTGAGCTAATACAAGTCTCTGGTGTCCAGTAACTGTATAGTCAGCTCACCAGCTCAAAGTGAGGTAATACCAGTCTCTGGTTTCCAGTAACTGTATAGTCAGCTCACCAGCTCAAAGTGAGCTAATACCAGTCTCTGGTGTCCAGTAACTGTATAGTCAGCTCACCAGCTCAAAGTGAGCTAATACCAGTCTCTGGTGTCCAGTGAGTGTTTAGTCAGCTCACCAGCTCAAAGTGAGCTAATACCAGTCTCTGGTGTCCAGTGAGTGTTTAGTCAGCTCACCAGCACAAAGTGAGCTAATACCAGTCTCTGGTGTCCAGTTACTGTATAGTCAGCGCACCAGCTCAAAGTGAGCTAATACCAGTCTCTGGTGTCCAGTAACTGTATAGTCAGCTCACCAGCTCAAAGTGAGTTAATACCAGTCTCTGGTGTCCATCATACAACATCACTTGGTCAACTTTTTATATGAAAGACAACTATCGTGACCTACTATGAAGGTCACAGGGGTCAATTATCTAAAGGACCATTAAGACTAGTGTTCTGATTCTTCGCTGGCTTGTGTCAACTGGACTACATGTATAATGTGTAAGCAGTTTATACATCATCTTTTTAAGTTTGACATATTTGGCAATTTAGTATCTGGGAAAATTTGCTATAAGTTAAATAAATAACCTTGGGTTACTTTCAAAGTAACAAGGTCAAATATCTTTAAAGAACTTTAAACAGCCTTGAGCCATACTAGGGTATAATATATGGACCAGCTGTACAAATCTTTTTCTAATTATTCATATTAAGGTCAAGTTCAGATTTAACCACTTTTTTTAGGTCAAAGGTCATCATTGGCTATAATAGATAAAATCTTTAAAGGTTATGGGAGTCCTTGGGTCACATTTTAAGGAGCATTTGAGATCCCTCATCCTGTAAATGTAATGTTATTTTCAAAAGTTGTATATGGAGAGACAAACATATTTATGCTACCAGGATCAGCTCTAGGGTCTTGCCCCACTCCTCAGGACTTAGTATCAGGATGTTAGCATGGACATTTTTGAGATCCAAAACCCTATAAAGACATGCACATTTGTACAGTTTGTGAAAAGAAAGGACACTTGGAACAGGTGAGCATTGTCAGGTCCCTTGGGTCTCTTTGTTTCAATTTCCTTTGAGGATCATATGAAAATTCCTAAAAAATCAACACTTGTGCACAGTAGAATAGACTGTGCCTACCGAGGCACCATTGACTTGTTAATGTATATGTGATAAGCCAGGCCGAGCTGACCTATGTCTAACTAACCCTTGCTGTTCTATATAATTAGCTTTCATATTGGTTTTATCCTATACAGTGTTGCACCAGTTGCTTGTGGTTCAGGAGAGTATAGCTTGGCAAAGTCCACCACATGTACCACCTGTCCAGCAGGTTCAGAATGTCCAACAGCTTCTGCCATACCCACTCCATGTACAGCGGGTACATACGCTGCCAGTGGCGCCACAGCTTGCACTGCCTGTAGTGTGGGTTCCTACTGTCCATCAACTTCAGCCATCTTAGTGATAATCTGTGAAAGTGGTAAGTAAGCTAAAATATTCTATTTGTTATCAAATCTTTACAAAGAAGACGATAGGAGAGATTTGCAATGTGAAGAGCGAGTTATGATGCCGTAGGTATTAATGGTATCCTGTACAGTGTTACAGGGGCATTTTTGTGACACAGGGTGTGGCAACTAATCTATTTTGATCAAGTTAATGTGTAATGGAAATATGTGTTGAAAAAATGAAAGTGTATGATTTGTTCATAAATAACCACGTGTTTATTTTTTACCCCAACAGGAAGTTACTCTCTTGGGAGCCAACATCAGTGTACTGTCTGTCCTGCTGGGTCTGCATGTCCAAATGTTAATGGTACTTCTATTACAACATGTTCTGCTGGCACATATGCTGTGGAAGGTTCCACTGTGTGCAGTCCATGCCCAGCTGGGTACGAGTGTCCAAACACTGATGGCAGTCAGAATGACCGGTGTGCAGCAGGTTCCTATTCCTTGTCAGGGGTAGATACATGTACGACATGTTTGGCTGGAAAGGCTTGTCCTTCTACAGAATCCGACTCCCTCATAGTAGACTGTGTGTTGGGAACGTACTCACTTGCTGGCCAGACATCGTGTACGGAATGTCCACCTGGGTATGAATGTCCATCTATCAGTGCTGCCACAACAACAATTTGTACTGCCGGTAAATATAGTGCAGGATCCCAGGCCGCCTGTACTTCCTGTCCGTCAGGATTCGCCTGCCCCAGTATCTACAATGACATTCTTAACCAGTGTGTACCTGGCTATTACTCTTTGGGTGATGCAGATACCTGCACTGCGTGTGATGCTGGAAAAGAATGTCCCGATGCAATAAGTGCTGGATCAGCCTGTGCCTCCGGGTACTATAGTTTGGGAGGTGCTGCCTCCTGCACCAGGTGTACCCCTGGCTATCAGTGTTTTGATCCAGCTATTGACCCAGTCATTTGTCCAGTTGGTACGTACAGTGCAGGTGGTACCACTACCTGCAGCAACTGTGACGCTGGTTATCATTGTGATGAGGGCAGCACAAGTGCTAATGCTTCAGAAAACATTTGTCCAGTTGGTTACCACTGTCCAGATGGGGGCACACTGACTAAGTGTCTAGCTGGAACATATGGTGATGCTACAGGCTACATTTTAGCTTCTGAATGTAAACCGTGTCTGGCCACATACTACTGTCCGGAGGGAACTGCCAATGCACCAATCCTCCGTTGTCCACCTGGATTTTTCTGTCCAGCTGGGACCGCAGGGCAGAAAGACAATCCCTGTCCTGCAGGCCATTACAACAAGATCGAAGGGGCAGCGGCGCAAGCAGAATGTAAGGGCTGTCCAGAGGGGTACTGGTGTGCAGCGGGTACCCCAGACTATGACATCGAAGCCCAAACCTGTCCTCGAGGACACTACTGTGAAGCAATTGGAGCGAATAACCCAATACCATGTCCAGCTGGCAAGTACACTGAGCAAGGTTCGGCCAAAAACATTGGGGACTGTAAATCCTGCCCTGCTGGCTATTACTGTCTGGAGGGTGGAGCCACACCAACTCCCTGTCCCCCAGGTACCTTTAATGACAAGCTAGAACAACTCAACATTACAGGTTGTTCCCCGTGTACATCTGGAAAGTCATGTACAATGTACGGACTCACAGAGCCCAACTTCCCATGTTCTCCTGGGTATTACTGTCCGGGTGGCAATTACGCCCCTAATCAGACGGAGTATGCATGTCCAGCTGGAACTTACACTGACCATACCAACTTGACCGCAGTAGAACAGTGTGATAAATGTCCAGAATCTACCTCGTGTGCTGCCGGCACTGGAGGGCAGCAGAATCCCCCGCAAGCCTGTGGCCAAGGACACTATTGTCCAGAGGGTACTGGGTCCCCTACACAGACGCCATGTGCTGCAGGCAGCTACACAAACCTCACTAACTTAAAGAGCCAGGAACAGTGCTATACTTGTCCTAGAGGATTCTACTGTCTCCAAGGATCCATCCAACCCACCGGCGACTGTTTTCAGGGACACTGGTGTCCGGAAGGTGAGACATTTCTGCTTTCTCAATAATGAATACTGTTAGTCTAGTTTTCTCACATGGCACTAAGTGCCCGTGAACTTACAATGTGATGCAGCCTCCACTGTGCTTCATCAACTGTTTCTTTGGACAGTTTATTATTGAAAACTGAAAGCCCCAGGGTCCTGATATTAGACCAGTATGCAGCAAGGGCATATCTTACATATCTTACAGAAATACTCTACTCTGTTTTTTTTTATCTCTTAAAATGTTAAGGTGGTTAATTTCAAGATGAATTTGAATTCAACTTGTCCATAGCTTACTTCCTGTTCTAGGTTTAGAGATTTAATGAGATGTTTGACAGTTGTACCTGATGAAGTATGGCACTTAAATCTAACATTTCCTCCATTTTGCGTCTCATAGTAATTAAGTTTGTTTACTATAGAAGTGAAATATCAGATTTTACAGCAAAAATTCAGGTAAAACAGTAAAGGCATTTGTTTAATGGTAAACTTTCCAATGACAGAATATCATTAACTTTGAGAAGATCAGCATCAACTTTTGATTTCATAATCAAAATTATTTTGATGTAGCATTTGCTATATGTTTTAAATTTGGTATTGTATGTGCCTGTTTGTAATATACAGAATATTACTCAATATTTTTGTCCACCGGTGGTATTTATCAGGTTCAGGTTCTTTGTTAGAATTTCTCAAAATGGATTAAACTCTAAACAAAAATAAGAGTAAATAAAGATAAATTGCCAATTATTCACTTGAGCATGTGGTAGAGATTATATACACACAAAACCTGCCAGATATCACCCATTTATACAGGTCAACCTGCAAATAACACCCATGTCATGTGCACACTGAAGTGAACTTTTTAATCATTTAAAAATATATATAATTAACCTTTTTAAATATTTAAAAAGTTGAAATTACAAGACAAAGTAGTACCCGGTATATTAATTTATTGTAGTTTAAATGCTATTACTACTGAATTTGATGACTTTAAAAGATTACATACTGAATTAACTCATTCACCCCTTGAAATTTCATAAAGAACTCTTCCCACCTTTGTATTAGGAGAGTTCAAATGTGTCTTCAGGGGTGAATGAGTTAAAGTTAAATTAGCATACTTGACTTGATCGTTAATGACCGTCAGTTCATAGCTGAGACTTGGCAGGTACATAAACAAGCGGTGAAGGAAGTCCTAGTTGCTCCCCCATTTTTAACTTTACAAGACAAGGGCAGAAACATTAAACTGAATTATTGTGAAATATTCCAAATGCAAACTTTATATTAATCAATATGAAGTGATTTGCACTGTAGAATGTTCAAAATAACAAACAATTTAAAAGTGACTGTTTTCTGTTCAGGAACTCCGGCTGGAAACTCGTACCCTTGTCATGCGGGCTCCTACAATAACGTTACTAAGGTGGATGCCTGGGAGAAGTGTGTGGACTGTTGGCCTGGTTACCACTGTGTTGAGGGCTCCGTACTACCCGACGCATGCCCTATGTACGTACACCGAACAATCTACCTTATAGTGTCAAATGATGGAGATCGTAAAACAGTTATGATGGGAATTTATAACAAGTGTGATACAATGGGGATTGTATAACAAGTGTGATACAATGGGGATTTTATAACAAGTGTGATACATTAGGGATTTTATAACAAGTGTGATACAATTGGGATTTTATAACAAGTGTGATACAATGGAAATTTTATATTAAGTGTGATGCAATGGGGATTTTAGAACAAGTGTGATAATTTATAATAACCAATTCATTGTGAACTTGTGAATTCTTCTTTAGATAAAACCTATATTTGTTGACAGAGCCACCTATAATCCTGACACAAAGGGAGAGAACCTCACATCATGTTTAGCCTGTAAGGCCGGTTACTATTGTCCTGATACAGCCATGTATGATCCACTTCCCTGTGAAAAGGGCAACTATTCAGCCACAGGTGCATCTGTTTGCTCTAGCTGTGAACCAGGGTTTTTCTGTTCTAACAATGCCACCAGTGATACCACCATGAGATCAGACTTCATCTGCCCGGCAGGTACAGAGTGTGCAGGAGGAATGATTGTAGCACCAGACTTAGTGAGTTATCCATGTCGATCAGGCCACTACTGTCCCCGTGGTGATGTCAATCCGTGGCCTGTCCCCTGTCCTAATGGGACCTTCAACGCTGGCACAGGTATTGGTGAAGTTGGCCAGTGTGAGAGCTGTACGGCTGGTTACTACTGTACTCCCGAGGGACTCAGTGCTGTGGCTGGAGAATGTCCTGGTGGATATTACTGTCCTTTAGGCACAGGATACATGTTCACAAATCCCTGTCCTATTGGATTCTACAGAAATGGGTCAGCTAGGGAGAAGTTCGATGACTGTGCAGAATGTGTGTCCGGATACTTTTGTAATGTTAAGGGTCTAGCTACACCTATTGACTGCCCAGCTGGGTATTACTGTATCACTGGCAGTATCAACCCGTCAGCTTGTCCCCTTGGGACCTACAGTAATTCTACCAACCTCCGTAGGAGCACAGATTGTACCCCCTGTCCTGGTGGTTACTACTGTGATGGTATAGGCCGTACTGAACCAACAGATGTGTGTGATGCAGGCTTCTACTGTAAGGAAAAAGCATATACCTCAGCTCCACCAGATGGATTGACAGGAGGGGTATGTCCTGCTGGCGGGTACTGCCCTGCTGGATCTGCCGTGCCCACTGCTTGCCCAGTCGGAATGTACAGTAAGAGTGCTGGGGCCAAGACTTCGTTTGAGTGTATACCATGTGACCCGGGATACTACTGCGCTGGGTCCAGTAGTACAAATGCATCAGAGCCATGTGCTGCTGGATATTACTGCACAGGTGGGGCAGGTACTCCAATACAATATGCGACCGAGGCAGGACACTATACCAAGGCAGGGGCCTTCAAACAAGAACCATGTCCTCGCGGTGAATATCAGCCGTCAGTGAAGTCTGCAGCCTGTTTACTGTGTCCACAGGGATATTACTGCAATGGAACAGCTACCGTAACTGAAAACATCTGTCCTACTGGCAACTACTGTCCTCTAGGCAGCGAATATCCTACACCATGTCCTATAGGTACCTACTTGAAAGACACGGGGCGTTACAATGAATCCCATTGCACTGCTTGTACTGCTGGCCAGGCATGTGAGATGGTCGGCTTATCACTACCAAATGTCAACTGTCAGCCTGGCTTCTACTGTGAAGAGGGTTCCAATGATTCCACTCCTGTAGGACTGGCCATGGCAGACCTCTGTCCTCCTGGCCATTACTGTCTAGAGGAAACGAAATACCCCACAGAGTATCCATGCCCTGCAGGTACCTACACCATGGCTACTGGTCTGCAAGCAGCAGAAAACTGTACAGACTGTCCTCCTGGCCAGTTCTGTAATGGAACAGGCTTAACTGCGCCCTCGGGTCTGTGTGCAGCTGGTTTCTTCTGTAGTGGGGGCGCTTCAGTCAGCATGCCAGATGATGGACAGAGAACCGGAGGGGCGTGTACACCTGGTAACTACTGTCCAGAAGGTGTAGGTACGTATCAAATCATGCAGTGTGGTATTACTCCCAGTGATTCTTTCTATTTTTTTTGAAGAAATAGAATATTTTGTTAAAATGAATGAATATTTGAATGAATTTTGATATTGTGCATTTCGTTTTTAAAAATACAGTAAATGATTTCTGTGGTTTATTGAGTGTAGCATCCTTTTACTAGAGATCTTAATCTGTGTTTTATAACGATGAATGATGCTTTTGTTGCAGAAATGATGCTCAATACAGCATTATAATTATTTCAAAGATAAAAAGATTGTATCTTTTTTTTTCATTCTGAGGGGGGAAAAGGTAGTGACTTGAATAATCATGTTCCATTGAAACAACATATCATAAAAGAAAAGGTATTGATCAGATGTATTCCTATATACAGGAACGCCCAAGAATTGTACCCCTGGGACATATCAGAACCAGACTGGGACAGATTTCTGTTACAACTGTACACCAGGTTATTACTGTGCCGAGGATGCCACAATACAGCCTGATTTGTGTACGGCAGGACGCTACTGTCCAGAAGGCACAGCACTGGACAGACCTTTTTGTCCCCCCGGAACATTCAACCCAGACCTTGGTAAGTAATTGAGTTTCTCTGACTGCCCTTGCTAGACCTTTTTGTCCCCCCGGAACATTTAACCCAGACCTTGGTAAGTAACTGAGTTTCTCTGACTGCCCTTGCTAGACCTTTTTGTCCACCCGGAACATTTAACCCAGACCTTGGTAAGTAACTGAGTTTCTCTGACTGCCCTTGCTAGACCCTTTTTGTCCCCCCGGAACATTCAACCCAGACCTTGGTAAGTAATAAAGTTTCTATGACTGCCCTTGCTAGACCTTTTTGTCCCCCCAGAACTTTCAACCCAGACCTTGGTAAGTAACTGAGTTTCTATGACTGCCCTTACTAGACCTTTTTGTCCCCCCGGAACATTTAACCCAGACCTCGGTAAGTAATAAAGTTTCTCTGACTGCCCTTGCTATAATAAACAACCTACAACACTGCCTGCATGCCCCCTTCAGAACTCACTTTCGTAATGAAAGACCTTCCAGACCTTATTGTCCCATGGGAACCTCACATCCTTATAAAAGTCTCCAATGACCAACAACCCAGAATCAGGTAAGTAATAAAAGCTCTGGATGTCTAATTGCACAATAGGGACCTACAGTCCTAGTATGTTTCAGTATTGGTGAAATTCTTTAATCACAGTTATAAATTTCCTTATGCAGGTCTCATTTTGGAGTCCCAATGTAAGCCGTGTGCCGGAGGATACTCCTGCTATAGTTGGGGTGCCGTCAATTTCGACTATAGTCTTAATGATACCGGGACGGAGCCATGTTCAGCGGGGTACTACTGCAAATCAGGTATTCAACTCCTTATCAGATTTACTTTAAAATCTTTCACCGTACAAAATATAGATCTATTGGAAATTAAAATGTGTATGCAGACAGTGGATTACAGCTAGGTAATAAATGTTTTACGGTTTTTAATTTAAAGTAAAATATGGAACATTGTACATTATTAAAGTCATTAATTGAAATGTAATGCTGTTCTGTTTCGCTCAATGCCATACATTGTTGGTGCCATGACTCATTTTTTTTACTGGTCAGATCATCAACATTAGGGTTTTGTTACAACAACAACAACAGTCATTGTTACGGTATGGTAATTAAAATAAGTACTTACAGTGTTAAACAGTGTCTTTTTGTGAGTGATCAACACATTCAACATATTACAGGTTGCAATGTGAGTACCCCGACTTCAGAAACAACAAGTGGTTTAGGAGGTCCCTGTCCCATTGGTCACTACTGTCTACAGCAGACAGAAGACCCCACCCCCTGCCCTAATGGCACCTTCAGAGATACTATCATGGCCGAGAAGGTGTCGGACTGCCAGGACTGTAGTCTGGGCCAGTACTGTGGTACAGAAGGACTCAGCAATGTAACAGCACCATGTGCACCAGGCTTCTACTGTCTCCGTGGTAACAATGACCCAATGCCTCAAGGTGAATAACAAATTGTTCTCCTCAGCAACCTTTTTCATATTAGGTATTTTTTCAAATTGGTAAGGCAGAATCTTTTTAAGATTTACTTATTCTTATTGACACTTCCTTTTTATGGGTTTCCTAGTTTGTACAGCAAACCTATATTACATATGTAAGGGAAATATATATGTATATATATATAGATATGTACAGCTACATTTATGTGGCCAAAATTGTAGAAGGCAATTGAATGCCAACTGAAGTATTAACAAATGGAATCGCTTTCATTCATATACAAATATGAGTTCGACAGGTTTGGCTTTCATAAACAAAGCCTTTGTAACCACATATATTTGAGTAAGATTATTTGCACCTAGAAATATTGGGAACTTGTGTTTATGTTTAGGAGATCAACCATCCATTGGTGGTCCATGTCCGGTGAGCCATTACTGTCCGGAGGGGACGTCCACTCCACTGGCCTGTAACAGGGGTACATATAACAACCTGACAGGACAGGCAGAGTGTTTCTCCTGTCCCGCCGGCTACTATTGTCCCGACAACACCACCACTTACGAGGATTACCCATGTCCTCAAGGATACTACTGTATGAATGGTACAGAGCTAGGTACGCAGTATCCATGTCCGACTGGAACCTTCCGCAACGTGTCGATGGGCCAAAGCGTGGCTGACTGTTACACGTGTACAGCTGGATACTACTGTGGGGCGGAAGGTCTCAGCACACCCAGTGGACTATGTGATGCCGGTATGTTTGCAAGAAAAACTCCATATTTCCTTAGTATACGACAAGAATGGAATATATATTGGTACTCAAAAACAGATTTTGTGGGTACTTGGAGCATGAATTCATTTGAGGTAAACTAGATGGCATTTGGAAATGAGGATTGTTTAATTTCAATTTATGACACTGAAAAGTGAATACCATGGATTTTTTGGTATCAATTATACATATAGTTGATAAACTGTAAACTTCTGTTAACTTCTCTTGCCTTTGTCAGTGGTCATATACGTTATAATAACGTTGTGCTTTTGTACAGGGCATTTCTGCGTCCAAGGAGCCAAGACTAGAAATCCAACCAATTATAACAACTTCACCAGCGGGGACTGCCTGTGCCCCAGCAACTCGACTGGTGGCGAGTGTCAACCAGGCTTCTATTGTCCCCAAGGGTCCACTGAACCAACTTCCTGTACTGAAGGGTATTACTGTGCTACTCCAGGTAAGGCCAAATTGTCTGAGATTTCATAATCTTACTGGAATGACTTTAAATATACAATAAAGGATATATACTCTTCAAACCATGATTTTTGAATATTACATGATTATAAGTGTATTATTAAAAAAACGTGACTTGGATATTCTATACACTTAAACATAACTTATGATCCTGTGCTTCAAAATGTTCAGTTATAATGTCATAACAGACAACCCATCTTTCAGTCATCATAGATATAAATTATTTTGACAGTTGATGTGATCAAACCTTGAACTTTGCATCGTATGTTTTCTTATCTCAAAAATTTCAAAAAGTAAAGTACAACACAGCTTCAAATTCCATATGAAATACAAAAAGTTATATTTTTTTATGATATATATTTTAGCAATTCATATTTATAAAAATTATCACCTTAGCCTGGCTGTTAAATTTTGTTCCTGATTTGTTTGGTAGGATTAACAGTGGAGACTGGCCAATGTAAGGCTGGTTATTACTGTGGTCTAAGGGCTACTAGAGAAGATCCCACGGATGGTATCACAGGGGACCTCTGTCCTATGGGCAGATATTGTGGTAAGTCAGTGAAAAACCTTTCAATTTGCTTTTAATGACACAAAAGTTGAATCATAGTTAAATCATGTGTTACTTTTGCATCAGTTTTTATGC